CCCCCCCCCCCCCCCCCCCCCCCCCAGCCTTTGAATAAAGGTTTATAGTACAGCAAAAATGTTTGTTTTCCTGAGGGACCTAACCACCCTAAAATAAAGAGAAACTAGAAACGTCCTTTAGACAGGAACCCCTAGCTTGGTCGCAGGTCAACCTTCACAAGTGATGCAGTTTCAAAAGTGCCGTGAGGAAATTAAGAAACGCGACCGCATTTCAGAATTATTCCTAGTTTCCCATTCATTTCATTGCTTCATCGTACGTTTGAAATGCCTAGAAAGGCAGCCGACTTGTACAAGTGTTTGGTCAAGGTAAGATTAAGAAGAAATTTCATGGTTCGGCCAGACCAAAGTTTGTGTAACAATGAATCAATTGTTTGAAGGTAAATAAATGTAACTATAGAAGAATTAAGATAAGTTAATAGAATTGACAATGCAAAAACAAGGGGTCGTGATGGCGCAAAAGATCTGAAGAAAGAGATGCAGATCGAAGATATCACCAAATGCCGCGCGGTTTGCTTTACACTCTGTTCAATAAACTTCAAAGAAATACACAAAAATGTGAAGCTTCTGCAATTTAAAAATTGCAGAGGCTGCAGTTTTTAACTTTATGGCATAGGTTAACCAAAACTGTGTTATAACAGCCGTCTCTCAAAATAAGCGCGCAAGCAAACGCTGATGAAGTCGCCCTTCACAGGTAGAAGAAGGTTGAATGAAGTCGGGTAGCGTTCCACCATTCTTCTAAACAAACAAAAATCCCTTATTAGGTTCGACTCCGGCGGATTATTCTTGTGTAGACCTTGTGCAAGGTTAGAAATTTAAGCTTTATATTTACAGAGATAAATGTATCATTTTGTTATCAGTTCTCGGAACACGAAGTGATTCCTTTATTTATTTTTGTAAGGAAGACCGATAACCTTTATGGAAAAGGTTGTCATGATACGCGCACGGTGGTCGAGAAACAGCGGTTGACAACAAAGCTGAAGAAGTCGTTTCTCCTTTCTCCTAACTAAAGTGTAGTCAACCCGCAAAATCAGAAACGAGCACGACAGGCGAGTGTTTCCACAGCTTTTTCGAGTTCTCCCAAACTTCCACGAGTGTTTCTATGACTCGATCGATAAAAACACGGAGAACATGTTTTCTATTCCTTTTAGAAAACTCTGCGACGGAAAAAAGAATACAACTTGTTTACTCTGATCAACAAAATGTAAATTCTCTTTGCTCACGCCATCATTACGTCAACGGCTCGGGCTAATTTTTGTGTTTCCATCGAAATTTAGTAGAATTCTACTAGTATACTGATGCAAAGGCTCCAATTTGATTGGCTGAGCTACTCGTATACTATCAGTCATTTAGAGTGCAGTGGCTGGAGGTCGTCCACAAAATGGCAACGTTTTCTAGTTTCTTTAATGTTTCGACAAAGATTTAGAAGTATTACTGGATAGTTAAATTCTCAAGCTAACGAAAGAAAGGAAAATGACTATTATGCGACTTTAAAACCTCACAATTTTTCGATGAACCGATTAGCGCGCTTGCACAATCCACGGGACTTTGCTAAAGCATGCAGTTTAATACAACGTTGGGAAATGATTGGAAGCTCTTCATATAGGGAAATTTATTTAGAATTCTACTAAGACAATTAATTAGATTATTCGCTCACGTTCACCTACTGAATAAAGTCCGTTTAGTCATCTTAGAATTGTTTCGAGCTGACCAGAAGAGAATGTCTCCGTTATCTGAGAATTCTCACCGCAAGAAATTTTAAACTTCCAAAAGGTCTGTAACTGCTGTTATCGAATCGTTCTGGTGGAGATCAACCAGTTGATATTTTCGGGTAAGGTGTACAGCATCGAATTAGTGAAGTCTTGGTCCAAGAATCCAGTCCTAAATACGAGTCTCCATGGTCCAGAGACACCTTTCACTCTTTCTAAAGCCCCTCGCGTCCACTAAGAGGGACAGGCCTGGGACGAGAAAGACCTGGAATGGATGAATATCAGTGCAGAACAATCCTTCAATAAAGGCTGTATTTGTAAATGTTCTATTTGTCTGCCGAATCATTTTTCATTTGCCCATGTAAGAATAGAAATTGTGTTCCATTAGTTTGAGCTTTTGGTATGATTTTTTCTTAGTTTTTTGGTTTAATGTTTGTCCTGGATTTGCCAAAGCTTAAACTTTAAAATTAGTTCAAAGACAACGAGAAACAACTAACGAGAAACAAGACGTACTGATGGAGTGGACGAGCACATTACAAAACGCAACAGTAACAATTAAAGAAAACCAATTTTCACAGGTTTATTTTGCAAACAAATCATTACATTTCTTTTCCTCTGTTAACAGTGTATATGCTTCAAGCTAAAGAACCCTTCGAGTGAGGTTTGTATCTAAAGCTGTCATTTTTCACACGTTAACTTTGGACAAAATAACAACGACATCGGTAGAAAAATATATCCTATAAAAATATTCTTATTGTCTTTCTTGGCGTGTCCAGATCAAGAAAGAGTCACGTGTTATCTGTTATTTTTGACAACTGATATTAACTTAGCGAAGCCTCGTTTTACACGCTTCTCTTAAATATGTATATACAAGCTCAAAGCTCTTTTTGAAAGAACAGTAATAAATAGCATAGTAAACAATTGTGTCCACCAAACAATCTTGTTATCTCAATAAAGTTTTTGTTGTTTATCTCTGTATTCTTCCAGCCACCGTCGTACTTCTGTCAAATCATAATTGTACGGACCTGTTCCCCCCTCGTACACTACTTGTCCTTGCTGTACGATGAACAATCTTTCGGGGAATGCGGCATAAGCTTTGGTGGCTTCGTTCTCCATCGTGTCGACCATGACTGGAGCCGGACATTGACTGGATTTCAAGATTTCTGCAGCTTGGCAGCGGTCTTTTAAACTCTTATGCTGAGCAATTTCGACGTTGTTCTGCAACATTGGTCAAAAGAAACGTAAGAATAAACTCATACAAAAAAAAAAAACAAACATCATCGTTTTATTATCTGTTTATGCCAAAAATGTTTTTATACGTTCAGCCAGCTCACGGTCGTTTCTACCATCTTTAAGACGGTGCAAGCATGACATTAAATTTAGAGTTTGTATGAGGATTTAAATAAATTCCCTAAACCTTGATTTCTAGTCTAGGAAGATTGCACATCAGACTAGACAACAAAGTTACGTAAACCCGAAGCATGATGCGGTTGCATATTCCGGCCCAGCCCTAGGTCTCATTCCTTAGATGTGATCAGTAGCCGTTTGCAGGCAGTCACAGTTTCTAATAGCTAGTAAGGGTAATATTTACAAAACATTTTCACAGGATTCTCTTACGATTATTGTATTTCGCACCAATGCTCGCATCAAATTTTTAAGAAGGGATAAAAACCTTGATCTGGTAAATGTTTTCTCTTTTCGAAAACTACTTGAGTACCTTGAGTATTTTAGAGTCTGAAGTTTTCTTTAATTAGCCGCACAGCTGAAAACTATATCAGAAGATGGAAAGTGTGTCGATTTTCAGCACTCCGCAATATTTTTAGACTGTTTATTCTGTACTGTATCAGCACAACTGAATTAGTAAAATTCCACCGGAAATTTCATCGGCTTAGCAATCTTCGCTGACATCCGGATTTAGCAGTCGCTGAGTAGATAATTGTTAATACCAGATTTGCGTCCCTTGAAATGATTGCCCACATATGCTGTAACTGCAACTGAGCTCTCAATGGTCCTCAATATGTATTATTTGTAGACCTACTACGGTAACATTTTCGCTGCAAAAAATGCATGTATGAAAGAGGTTTGTGATATTTTGTTGTTGGTGGTGGTGGTGTTAATTTTTTTTAATAGTGCACCATTTAATAACCGGAATTCCTTTTTGGTATATATTTTTTAACAACTCAAGTTTGAAGAGGTTGGAGGATTAAATAGGATTAAAAGATGAACTTCTTGATTTTGATCACGTTTCAAACACTTGAGGAGAACTTTAACCTTCTTTTAAGATAAGAGCTAAGTTTTGCTTTCCTTTTGCTTTGCACTATCTGTTGACCGCAAAACTTGAACAGTTTGTACTGATGTCTTCGATCATATGTCCGGAGTAGAGCATTTAAAAGGCAAACGCCTTGCCAGCAATTCAATCTGTAAGGACATTTTATTTCGTGTCAAAAGTGTGCATGGGTCTGACTGACTAAAATATCTTCGGGTCTACAAGATCATCATGTGAGAGACATTTCAAAATTTTAATTAACTACATCTTGTGCTTGATCTAAAGTTATCCTGTATTATCGCCATAAACCTTCCCACTTTAATTTTATAACAAAACAGGCCATCAAACTCGCTTGAAACGTGACTTTTCTTTAAAGGTTGATGCATTGCTAACTTACATAGCTGGTTGTTTCCAGTTTTGATTGAACAACGTACGTTAAGCTATGATGCAATATCAGTCAGGTGGCGGTTTCAGTAAAATTTCAAGTTGGCTTGCATGTGCTATACCTTCATGGGATGGGGTAAACATTGGCACCTGAAATGAGCTCTGTTGAAAAATGGCTCACCGCCAAATGATCAGCTTTGAACGACCAAAATCTGTGATTAGCAGCGATTAAAAAGATTGGATTCAGCAAATATAATAACAAACCACTTCATAATACAAACAAGAATAAACCAGACCTTCCTTTTTTTATTGTCGCGGTTATAAGGTGTGGCGTGTGGTACGTGATCGCAAATGCATTTTTAGCAAGCGCAGCTTCTAGCAGTTGTTGCTGAAGACATCTCTCGAGAGATCATTTGCAAACAATTTGCAACAGAAACTTTGGCTGAATGTGACTTTCTATTTCGATCAATATAACTAATTAAATGTTAACGGTTTCGCAGAGATCACAACAAGCCGCCTCATAATCCTTTATAACACTTTTCCAATAGTGGCTTTTGTTGAGGCACGCGGAGGTATCGATAACAAGTTGTTTGTATCACTTTTCACTGATCATTTTGGTTCGGTTCAAAACCTATAGTGCTGCAGGTGTATCAAAACTCTGTTTTAACTCCACAACCTTTAAAACATGTAAACCTCTTTTAAAATAACCTCGTTTCTATCGACTGTAGACCAATCTTTAACAACACTATCTTGATTGACTTCATTAGTCATCTTGGATGACTGATTTGGTCTTTTTTCATTTTCTTTTTGCGTTGTTGTTGATTTTGTTTTTTATAATTTTGTGTGTGTTTTGTTGTGTGGAATCAGGTATCTTTGTGGTCATGTGCATTGAGTTAAACCTTATTTTCAAGCGGTTCCAATACCCACTTTTGAGGGAAACATTTTAGGTGACGGACTGTAATCATCTAAGAAAGGCACCCAACAATTTACTTAAATACCGAAAATTTTCTTTGCACTAACTTGCCGCCAATAGTATATGTAAGCCGATATTTTTCTCTTTCCATAATCTGCGGTCATCTGCGATGAAGTGAAGAACGCCTCAGAAACCACACCCCTCCATAACTCGAAACCAAAACTGTGGCGAAGAAAGAATGAACGGTACGCGAGAATTTATATAAAGCTTTTAAAAAGACGTTTTCCCATCAAATGTGATGGGAATGTTACTTGGTGAAATTTTTCAGTCAATAATTTAATTGTTCATTCTTGTATAGTGCGTCCAAACTAAGGAGAGTTAGGTATCAAAGTTTGTTACGGCAATAAACAGAAAATCCGGCAAACTTTTCATCACAACATATACAACGTGCGATAAAAACGATATTGATCGCTTACTTCGGATCATTTCCGACGGCTCAAAAATTGCGATATATCGATCAGTTCTATGTGCTTCTGAGAAATCGATCTGCTCTACATTATACTGGAAACAATTTTCTCTGATTTGAACGTTTGCCTTCTTTGAAATAAAATAAAATAAAAAACTCTACAATTATAAGTGACTACGACAGGTCTTCGAGCACTCTTATTTTTTTCTCTGATAATCTCAGCGCGATCCATGCCGATGGATCCATTCACGTGGAAAGTGAAACCGCGAGTGGCGGTGCTTGGAAGCCGGTGTGATTTTGACATGTAACGTTCAAATTCTCCAGCTTGACAATCATAGAATTGTATGAAGACGAGTAAAGAAAATTCATATTTTGTGTCAGTTTGGGACTGCGTGAAGGGAAAACATTTACAGCCAATGGATATGCATTTATAGCGTTAAATATTAAGCGAAAAACGTCCGATATCCAACCACTTGAGTTTTCTCTTGAAGTGATAACGGCATTAATATTTTAAGGGCAGAAGGGGTTGATGCTTTTTTTTCCTTCTGCCGTAAGGAGATTCGTCAAAATATGAACCGTGATAGCAACTACTTCTGTAGCTGGACAATTAAGGCAAAATCATTAAATCGTTTAATGCCCTTTGTGGTTATAGTCATAAGGATTATGTTTTTAATGTAATGGCAAATAATGATCACGGCATCCGAGCTAATCGTTATTGTTTGCTTGTTTGTTTCTTTGTTAGAAAGCGTTTCATTGCCGCCCTGGTGTTCAATTACTTGATTGACTTTAAGAAAGCAAAGAAACCAGGCCAGATTTCATTTGAATTTGCGCCTGTGGACATTCTGCTAATACTATGTTTGAAAAGAAATTACAATTATAAAATTTGATCCTAAAGCTCCTCAATAAACTATCGAGTTTGAACCCAATACCGTTAATAGTCTTACTGCATCAGATACACACGAAGTAACCGCAGAGTCTTTATTCAAGAGCTCAATTGCTGATATCGGTGGTTTGTCCAGTTGGTTTGTTTATTTCTTATTTTATTTATTTATTTATTTTTTATCATCATCATTATTTTGATTTTCTATGTACACGTTGTGTTCTCAAAAGAACCAAATGCAAGTCTTTAGGCGACTGCTTTTCAAGAGTCACATGGCCAATTGTAAAACTAAATATTGGGGTATAGTAGAAATTCGACCATAGTGCGGGATTTTAATTTCAAGTATAATGGTACGATTTAAAAATAGTGCTGAACAATCAAATTCCACGCCTATGTACACTTTTAAAACTTCTCTAAAAACTACAAATAATAGTTTATTCCGTGCACATATAATTGTTAATATGCTATTCTTAGGCTAAAAAAGGTTGACATGGTATAATTAATCGTACGTCACAAACTGTTCTTCAATACAAAATAACAATACTTACATTCCATCTCCAACCGTCCGTCGGGTGTGCCTCGCTTATGTAAACAACGAGAAAGTCTGCCACATCAGCAAACTCCCGAACGACCTTAGAGAAGTCGTTCTGGAGACGGATGTAGAACGGAGGTCAGCTACAACTGCCGAAGTTAAGAACCAACGGTCGATTTCCTCTGGCCAAGTCCAGCAGTCTGCACTCTTTTCCATCCGTTGAAGCCAACTTGCAGTTTGGAGCTGGAGACCCAAGCCGAGCCATTCTGTGTAAATCGGCCAGGTTTATCCTCACCACCTCTCGCAACATTTTCAAGCTACACCACGACTGCCAGAAGTTTTCATATGGCACCAACAAGAACTTTTCATTATACCTCTTGATCTCGTCTTTAATGATAGGAAGCGATGAAGCGATCCGCATGAGGCCCACGGCCAGTGCGATGCGAACTATGATCAACGGCCAAAGAATTGTGTAAGTTAATGCAGCTAGTATCGCTGATAGAGAGGGTTTGAGAGCTTCCGGGCACTGAAGGATTACAGACATGGTTGAGTCGACTGGAAGCTTCGCTGAACGAGCGAATGAATGAACTGTTTCTGACCTGCTCATGCTTATGTATACGATCAGATAGGAGCTGACGTCACCCGAATAACATAGTTTAAATTCCTCGTGTAAAAAACAAAAAAAAAAACTTCGCGTGTTTAGGAGCAAGTCACGAAACTCGTGGCTTCCTGTTTGCAAGCACTTGATAATATTGGTCCTGAATAAAAAGCACGTTTAACTGTGCAAGATAACACCGGCTTAACTTTCTCTGTGGAAGTTATCAACAGATCCCGGATACAAGCACGTGCAAGGGCCAGAGACGCAATCCAAAGGTTTTGCCAGTCAGTACGATAAAGTTATTCGTGTCAACAAATGGAAATTTGTCGTAACTACAGCGGCATTCCTTGGCAACAGATCATTGACAAATCACTCAACCCATATTTACAAGGATAACCAGTGAGAGGTCTAATGTGTGTCAGTATTTGCGTATGTCAACAGTGATATGAAATTGGATCAAACAGTGGGGCTGATATGAGACTGATATCATCTGCAACAAGCTGCATTAAGCGGGTTACCATAGCATCGTGTGTTTCTCGGACTTTCTTCTCACGTGCAGAATTGAATTTTTGTGGGCAATAAAATGATCTTTTTAAAGCGTCCACGTACATTGAAATCCATTAAGAGAAGGGTTATAAGTATGCATCACTTCAAGTAATAAAAGCAAATATGAAATCGCCGGGTAAACAACAGAAACGTGATGTCACCAT